CACTAATAGACCTTTTTCTCGTCAATATTTCTTTCATAAATTTTGCATACGAGAGGATTTGTGTGATCAATTCAGTAAAGGGAACTATTTCCTTCAAATCTTTTACCACCTCCAGGAACTTACCAAACTGCTTATCCAAGTTTGTCTTCAATTGACGATTGGGGAATGGAAGTTTGATAATTGGTTTTGGAGCATTATTACTCTTGTCTGGAGTAGCCACCTTCTCTGGAGTCGTACCCTGCAATGTAGAATTAGATATGTTAGTACTATCCTTTAGCCCTGCAGGGCTATCAACTACATTGTTTGGTTTAACGGAATCAAGATTAGCATTATTTAATAAAACAGGTTCATCAACTCTGGGCATAGGGGGCCCTTCATAGTTTGAACCACTCCTTAGAGTAATTGCAAATGCTTGATCCGTAAGCCTAGTCGGCTGTGCCGGCAGAGCTCCCTGTTGGCGGGCTTGTAGGGTAGCGGAGAGTTGCGCAATTTGATTATCTACAATTTTATTATGCGCTAGAATTTGATCAATTGTCGCATCTCTGCTCTCCATGTGCTTTTGCATATTAGCCAACATTGCTCTAATTTCCACCAGAGAAGGGTCAAAAGATGAGGAGGGTTGTTGTGGTTGGTTCTTCTGGCTAGCATTGGGATGATAATATTTCTGTTGCTGTTGTTGTGGCGCCTGTGGTTCTTGTGGTGGTGGATTTTGAACATTAGTGCTCCAGTAGGAAAGGTACAGATGATTCCGATACCTAGGATTGTAGGTGTTGGAGTATGGGTTATTCTGCCTATAAGCTTGGAAGGCAATAACTTGCTCCACGGAACTCCTGCAATCTTGCTCCTAATGACCTACAATACCACAATTTTCACATAAAGCCTCATTAGAATTATTATTATTAATCGCAGAAACATTAGCTACATTAGCAGTGCTTAGATTATCTAATTTTTGGCAAATAGTGGTCAGTTGAGCTTGCAAAAAGGATACAGAGTCAACACTATGCTTCCCCTTGTTAGCAAATCCTCTAGGGTTCCCATATTGGGAATTGTGTATCGCCATGTCTTCAATAACCTGACCTGCATCATCAACATTAAGATTCATAATTCTCCCACTAGCTGCAGAATCTAAAATTATTCTAGAGGAATTTCCAATGCCGTTATAAAAGGCTTGGATTAACTGCCATTGCGCTAAATTATGGTGAGGGCATTCTCTTTGTAAGTCCTTGAACCTCTCCCAAGCCTCATATAAAGACTCATCGGCTTCTTGGGCAAAGTTCTGAATCGCACTCCGTAGTACGGTTGTTCTCTCTACAGGATAATACTTGTTATAGAAATTCAAAACAAGAGTTTCCCAGTCAGTTATACCAAGTGTAGTTCTATTTAAGCCATTAAACCACAATTTAGCTTTTCCAGTTAAAGAAAAGGGAAAGAGAATCTCCCTGATTTGGTCTTGAGTGACCCCGGCTTGCCTGATGGTGTTACAAAATTGACAATAGTCGGCAATGTGAAGATTCGAGTCTTCACCCTTGGCTCCACAAAATTGCTTCCTCTCTATCATCGTTATAAATTGAGGTTTAATTTCAAATTAAACCCCATCAAGATCCGGAGTAGGGGTGAGATGTGGAAAATCCGTGAGCTTTGGTTGTGAATAATCACTAAGCTTCTTTGGAGCCGTCATCTCTGATTCTGCGTCTGATGATGTCTCTGAATCGCTAGAACCAGTCAGAGGATCTCGGTGATTATTGTTATTATCACCAGAATCCGCCAGGATTTGCTAGAAGAAATTTATCTATCTATGGAAGGAACATTTGATCTCAGGATCAAATGGGATGTAACCTGATCTGTAACAGGCTCTCGCAATGTATTAATCAACATAGATCTAACAGGCTCTCGCAACTTACTAGATCTAAGTTCTTAATGAAAATAGCCTTTAATATCAAATTAACATCTTCTCGATTCATCAATTTAATATTGCTATACTTTTACAAGCCGCAATTGTAAAACGTTAAAACAATTCAATAAGAAATTATCATGCAATACCAATAATCAATAATAGTCAATCACCAATGCATCAATTAACCAGATTGTAAAGGGCTTTTGCTACGTTTTACAATCACAGAATTACTCTACCGATATTAAATCTCATCTCTCGAATCTCGACTTAACCATTTATAAATTAACCTGCCTATTGAAACTAGACCTAAACATTAATTCTCATCTGTCGAATCTCGAATCAGTGTTGTCAAACTCATGCATAAAAGATCAGGCCTAATCTAGTCACAGAGCATTAAATCAATCAATAGGAAATTAATCTAGCATTGATAATTAACAACAATAAATTACCTCTTCATATTATTTATGGATCCCCATAAGCCCTAGAATTAAACTACTCAGACATAATTAAATCTAAACTAATCAAAGTAATAAAACAAGTCATGATGGAAGGAGTAAATTAAATAACTAAGATTAAGAGAAGAGAAATCGTTACCAAACTAATCTGTATTAATGGAAACAATCAAGAACAAGAGTTGAGAGAAAAGTTAAGAGAGAGAAAAGATCCTAAGTAGAGAGAGAAAGTCTAAGAGAGAAGATAATCAAAATTCCGTACAAAAACTCATATATAAACGTTTCCTAAAACAAAAATTAAAACTAACTAATCAGGTCCTATAGAAACACGCGCCCGATTGGGCCCGCCTTTTTCTTCGCGTTCCTTCTCCGCAGCATCGCCCGATCGTGCTAGACGCTCGCACGATCGGGCACGCTTATGCACGCACAGCACCATTGCCTTGCCGCGCCCGATCGGGCGACCTCCTGCCCGATCGGGCCATTGCTTCACTTTGAGGCTCGGACTTCGATTGGGCTTGATTTCTCGGCCCAATCCGAATTTCCCCAAGCCAAACCTTTGTTTGTCCCTAAGCAAAGATCTCATCAACGAATCAATAAATATGCTTCACCCCAAAAAGTAAAAAAAATCAAATACAAACGATCCAGGGCAAATCAAATAAACATGCTTCAAAGTCAACCAATCAAACCCATCTAATTACCAATCACCCTAACAATAGTCAAACAGAGCAAACCACAAGAGCATATAGAATTCAAGACTAGTGCTCACACACTCAACTCTCATTTATGTGGCGAGTAAAAGATGTACTCGATCGCTCTCCATCCAACCCTTTTATGTGAACAATGCCCTCCCAACTCATACTCTCGTGTGTATAAAACAATGAAAGCTCAATCCTACTAGTCGACTCGAAATATGCCAAATCATAACTTGCATTGATAAACAACACTTTCACATTCATACAATTCTATGCACAAAGGTCAGAAGGTCTTTAAAGCTTGTAATGTAAGGCCAGGGTAAAGGGTAGGATAAATTTGGGAATAAGTGATACAAAAGTTATGCTTAAATGAGTCATATCCTAATCAAAACCATGATCAAAATAAAAAATGATCAAACATCTCTTACATAACCAATTCCAACATCAACCAAATTTACTCCAATCATAATAAATAAACCCAACTCTTACAATTTCACTCATAAGATATAATAATGAAGAAGTAAAGTGAATAAACAAACTTTATTTTCCAAACTTGAATTTTTCATTGAGGCTCAAAATTATTTTCCTTTGATCAACCTCCAACTAGAACATTTGAACATTTTTTTTCTTTTGAAGTCCACTTATTTTTTTCCACATTTTTTTCTCTTAAACTTATCTTTTTTTTCATAATATCATGCTTTATTTTTTCAAGAAAATATAACTCTCAAACTCATCAAAAATAAACATGAATAACAACAAAACAACTTCTCAAAAACCCACCCAAATTGTGCAAATAATAAGCACACTACAAACTCCCTCACCTCACTCACTAATAGCTCCCCCAAGCCAAGCTTGGGACTAGTAACCAATGGGGCAAAATGGCCTTGTAATGCGGCTAATAAACAACAAAAGGTCAAGGCAACAACATGGGTAGCAAGAAGGGAACAAATGTATCTACAATTTCTGGAGGCTACCTAAAAGAACAAATGCCTTCGTCCTCCACAATGTGCATAATAATGAATCATATAAATATTACTAATAGTTGCAAACCAATACTCAAACTCATTGACATACCAGGAACTATGGAACTATCACACATTCCTTACCAAATCAACTAGTCAAGCACTATATTCACAAGTAGTTGGACAAAATTGACGCATGTAAAGGTTTCAAGGCAATCAAACATCAAATCATGATCAACTAATCCACAATGCCTATCATCAAATACCAAGAATCAAAACAATTTTCTCAAGTAAGGGGCACAGGGAAGCATAATTTATAATTCATTGGAACATATTTTTTTATTTTTTTATTTTTTTCAATTTTTTTATTTAATTTTTTTTTTTTTTCAATTTTTCATAAATAAGAAAGCAAAAAAAACTACACTAGGAAAGCAATAAATAGAGAAAAGAGAAAGAGGATTACCATATATACAAGAAATCTCCCCCCAAGCCAAATCAAGCAATGCCCTCATTGACTTGGGAGGGTAGCTAGGAAGAGCTACTCCTCATCGTCATCCATCTTCTCATATCCTCCTCTATGACTCGAGTCGGCACCACCCTGGCTCGGTCCACCACCACCATAACCCGAACTACGTGCAAAGTAGTTAGGGTTCACATTCCCCCCCATACCCCCAAAAGGAGCATCACCCCCATATCCGTGGACTGAAGAGTAGTCCACATAAGTACCATACGCACACCGGGGTGAGAATACCCTCCTTGGGGGTATTGGAACCAATCGAGAGTAAGTGAATCGGGAGGAATAACCCCCCGACGGGCATAATCGTCATAATCGGGCTCTTTCAAACGAAGCTAATGGCTCCGTTTGTTGAATCATAGCAGCCACGGTATCGAAGATGGTGTTTACAAGCCCTGAAACCAAACGAATAACCAAATTTTACTCCGATACGGGCTGGTCAACATTAGCAAGTTGATCCTTTAAAATTTTCAATTGTCAACAATACTAAGAGATGTCTGCAAAATTATAGAGATGCAGAGCATTAAATTGATTTTCAAGATAAACGGCTCTTGTTTGTTTACTATCTTGAAATATAGCCTTGAGTTTGTCCCAAATCTGTTGACACAGAATTGTCTCCAACAAATCCTCAGAAATTGTACCATAAATCCAATTCTTGACAATGGAGTCAAGACGTGTCCACATATCACCCGATAAATCCGTCGGCTTAGGCGTTTTAGGGTCAATATGATCAAGCACATTATATGCGTGGGCATGACATTCAAACAATTCTACCCAATTTGAATATTGCACGTTTTCATGGTCAAGAATAAGTGGAATGATATTCTTGATATTGTTAACACCTAGAGCAGGATGGAAGTCAAAAGAAGAAGAAGATTCTCCATCTTTACCCATGATGGCATCAAGAAATTAGGTACACTAAAGCAAACGAAAAATAGAAAAAAAGAGTAGAGAACTGATTGGTTCACCAATTAGTTTTGGGGAGTTAACCAAATTAATTTCTTTGCTTTGGAAAATCAAAAAATTGGAGACGTAACCGGAAAAAGAATTGGGTTGAAAAACTGAATAAAAAAATTGCGAAGCTAGATCGAAAAACCTAAAGTTGTGATACCATGTTAGATAATGTGAAACTCCTTGGATTAGAGTGTATTCCATTGATACGTATATAAAGGGTTACAATCTAGAATCCTAATCTCGTTAGGAATCTCAAAAGATAATTACAAATATTCACAAAATATAGCTCCTACTATAACAGAATATCTAGAATATTTATCGTATATTCTATCAGTGTTATTGAAAGGTGGTTTATGTGATTGATAATAATATAACAAAAAGTAAAAGTGGTCATATTGAAACACCTTTAACATTTGAAATTTACTAATGGTCTGTTTGGTATCAAGGATTTCATTTGAAATTCTGATTTGGACCAAATGAGTTGTTTGGGTAATGCAAAAATTTGAAATCTTGATTTGGGCCAAATCCAGGCCATTGAATAATAATACCAAATTAATGAATTACAAATTCCATCTCATATGATGTCATTTCAAATTCTAACATGTAAAAAAAATAAAAATAAAATCCCCAATTTCTCTTTCCTAGGTCTTTTGACGTTTTCCCAATTTTTTTTTCTCTCTTCTCCATTGAAGCAACTTCTTAGCTCTTTCTCCTCCATCTATTTACATTGTATTCTCTTCTCCTCCATTATTAAAGCAACTTCTTATCTCTTTCTCCTCCATCAATGTACTCTGTATTCTAAACTAAAGATTCTATCCTCCATTAAAGCAACTTGTGTGCGTTCTCCTCCGTCGAAAAGTTTCTAAGGTAGTATAATCAATTTGCTAATCACCGATCACCATTGACATGTCAATTTGAATGCCAATTTCAAATTCGCTTGGTTTGGATGCCAATTTGGTTTGATTAATGTCATAATCTAAATAATGAATGTAGATTTTGGTTGATTAATGCCGATTTCTCCCCTAATTGGGTCAACAATTTGGGGATTTGGATGAACATGAAGAGAGAGATTTGGATGAACAATATGGGAGATTTGAATGTCAGGGAGTAGAGCAAGGAAGAGAGAATTTGATAAGTTTGAAATTCTAAGTTTTTTCCAAACAGAGAATTTGGAATTGAATGTCACTAAATTTAATTTGAAATTCTAGATTTCAAATGAAATGCTTGAATCCAAACACTACCTAATTCGATTCACAAATTATTCTTCATATGCAACGAAGATACATATACGTGTTCACAAATGCGAATCATATACTAATACAAGTATATGGATAAGATGAGATACATAAGGGTTAGTGAAAGAGCTAAACAACGTAACTGCCAAAATAAATTCTTCATACGACAACAGTAGATTAACAATGAAAGATTCTTTATATGTGAATCCTATGCTAATTAAATTCCCAAAAATTACAAATTTAATCAAAATTGCCAAAATTAAATAACTCATATAGAGCCTCTCCTCTCCTCTCCTCCTCTCTTCTAGGGTTTCTTCAAATTCTCAGGTGTTTAAGCCGGAAATAGTGTAATTTTATTTAGTTTTGCAATTTGGGTTTCAATAAATCTACACAAGTAGTGTAGATATTCGTCTGTCTCCCTATGGTGGAGTCGTTAGTTTTTGTTAGTTTAGTTGTTTGTTTTTGTTTAGGGTTTGTTTGTGTGTTAGGGTTCATAAAAAAGTAATCATCTTTTTCCCTATTGTCATTTCTTTGATAAAGATTTGTTCGGGATCGCAAAGGTTGTCAAATTTTCAAATGCGTTCAGGCGAATCAGATGAGAATCACCCTTACGGCTACAACAAATCGTTAGACCGTCTATCCGAAAAGGCTGTATATTCCAGCGATGTATGCAAGAGATGTACCACAGTGGAAGTTCTTTTCAACGATCGTAGCTCTACTCAAGGAAAAGACTAGCCGTCGCTAAATTTTTTTGCGACAGTTTTCCAGATCGTCGTACAATTGCGACAATTTTTGGCTGTCGTAAGCTTATTTTTTGCGATGAAATTTAAAACTGTCGCTGAAATTAGTGAAACCGTCGTAATTATTTTTTACGACAGTCAAACTGTCGTAAAAGTAAAATTTTGCGACATGTCTGATAACGACAAACCCATTACGACGGTTGGCTGTCGTAACTATTTGTTGCGACGATTTTAGCTATTTTTGCGACAAATTTTGGTTGTCGCAAAACTACTAATTTCTTGTAGTGTACTTACGAAACTGCACTATTTTCGCTTTCTGGAACTTCCTTTCGTGGTCTACAACAGAAATTAAACAAATTACTTCTTACGAAACTTGTTTTTGAACAATTGTTTAAAAAATTAAGTGTTTAATTATAATAATTCTCCACTTACGAAACTTTAGCATCTTATTTGTTGCCTTTTGGAGCTTCTTTTTGTGGTCTACACAAGAAATTAAACAAATTTACTTACAATGGAACAAAATATTAAAAATTAGGGTTTAATTGTAAAAAATTGCAGAAGTGTACTTACGATTTTGATTTTTCTTTTGCTAGTGCATATTCTTCTTGTAGATCACTCATTGTTGTTGAGATTGTAACAAATTTGCAATAAATTTTTAAGAATTGTGCTTCAAAGGTTTGATGAGAGAAAAATGGAGAGAGAAATTGCGGATGAAAAAAAATGTAGAATATGATCAATTTTTGATTTTTTTTTTTTTTTTGTTTCATTTATTTGTATATATATGTGGGGTAGAAAATTAACTGCAGTTACTTTTATTGAAGGTTAGTGGGATGCGGTTAGTGGGGTGAGGGGTTATTTACTTATTTTGGTAATTTGGTGAGGGGGAGTAGGCAGAATTGGCTAAAGGGGTTGTAGTATTGTACTTTGTAGGTATTAGGAATTACCTATAGAATTACTCAATTCTAAGCCCAATATAATCATCACTCAAGTCTCAACCCATAAGCCCAATCCATATTAACAAACAGCCGTCAATCCAAATTTTTATAAACCCTAGCAATCTTAATTCTAAAACCCTATTACAAAAACCCCAATCTTCATCTCCTCAAACCTCCATCTCTTTCTCTATCTTCTGCAAATTCATCTTTTTCTTCAGCTTTCTGAGGTGAGTTTTCTTTCTTCTAAAATAAATTCCTTTAAAATTAAAAAATTTCAGTTTATTTATAGCAATTTTAGGTTTTTAATTTGTTTTATTTGAAAAAAATTCTGGGGTTTGAATGATTGTATGAAAATAAGCGCGGCCTTTAAGATCGCCTTCCAATTATACAACAATGGAAGCGTCTCGAGTCATAGCTGCGCAAAATTAATTCTTTTTTCTGGGTTTTTCTCTTTAGGGTTTTCCTTTTGAGTTATTTCCCATTTTACCTTTCCCTAATTGTCTTAGCCATTTTTCCTTTTTTAATCATTTGGGTGTTTTAAATTTTCTTTTATTAGTGTTTAAAATACCCAAATGTGGGTTCTAAATGGCTTGATTTTAGGTGGGGAAACATTTTTTTTAATCTTGTTGGATTTGATAGTAATGTTATTATGTTATTGGCAAGAATGATGAACTTCTTATTCTTATAAGAAGAATTTATTTTCTTGTGATTTATATATTAATATTAAGGGATTTATCTGACTTGCCAAATAATTATGTTGAAATTTTTTCTTTGATGATTATTTTTTTGGTAAAATTTAGTGTTAATTAGTGTTTTTTTAATTTAAAAATGGAGCTCAGGTGATGATGTTGGATTAATATCTCACGACGGTCGTCTGAGGCACTAATTAGTGTCATTTTTGATGTATTATAATCCAATATTCTGATGAAACTCTATTAAATTGCTAAGTTTTTGTTAATTTTTGTTGTAAATGAGCATTATGATGATGAAACTTTATACAACCGACCAAGTTCGTGAATTGGATAAAAACCTCCTACTCATACTGAATGCTCTTAACTCTTTATATTTTTAATCTATTAAAGTTTAAATTTTTATTGAAGATTTGTCTTTGAGTGCTAGGTAATGTTAGGAACTTGATAATTGAGTTGACACAAGTTCACACGACACGATAACAATGCCGATTGGCATAAGTAGGGTTAATGTAACATTGAAAGAGTCTAGTCTAGGCTTAGATATAGGTATTGTGAAGTTTATAATTTGGTGGAACCATGGAAGTTAGGAACTTTCGATTGGTATAGTTGGTCATAGATTGGTGAAGGTAATGGCAAGAATGATGATTCAATTAGATGTGTGAAGAGAACAATCTCTCATGAACTTAATTTATTTGAGGCATAATAATTTCTGACTTGCCAAAATTCTTCATTAGGCTGTCTTTTATACTAACATGACTATTTTTATTATGAAATTTGGGTAGTGTCTTTATTAGGCACTGTTTAGTATATCTAGATTATAGGAAGTATGATTTTAAGATATGGCAAGAATGATGATTCAATTAGATGTATGAAGGAAGTGATTCCTCATGAACTTAATTTATTTGAGGCATAATAATTTCTGACTTGCCATGATCTTAATTAGGATGTTTTGTACTATGTTTTAAAATTATATAGTGTATTATGACTTTTAATGTTTTTAAAGCATTTTTTTCTTTTGGTGCTTAAACATGTTTGAATTGTCATGGTTGTTAACTAATCTAGATGAGATGATTTTATGTTAACTGGCAAGAATGATGATTCAATTAGATGTGTGAAGAATTCAATTCCTCATGAACATAAAATATTTGAGGCATAATTATTTCTGACTTGCCAAGTTAGCCCCAAATTAGTGTCTTTTCAAATTTTCTTAAAATCTTTTTTGTTCAACTGCATATACAATTAGTCACTTTGCATGGTCCTTTTCTTATCTAGTGAAGTGATGTATAATTGTATAAAATGGTCTGCTTGCTCCTGTCGTTCGTGAATATATAAGGTGTACAGTTTTAGTTTTAAGATCTTCGACTTGTTGGGAATTTCCGAATGTTAGATGGGTGGTTATGTTGACAAGAGTGAGGATTTAATTAGATGTGTTAAGGATGCAAATCCTCATGAACATCAACTTTTATAGCTTATTGATATTCTGACTTGCCAAGTTACACCTAAGGAATCATTTGCTTTTCATAGACCACTTGTTAAATTAGTATCTGTGTTGTGCTATGCCCGCTTGCTCGTGATAATCTTCAATAGCTCTGTATATTCATGTGCATGGGTGATAATTTTCATTTTGGTTGAGTAGTCCATTGCAGACTTGAATGTGAAGATTGATGAATTGATAAGATGCCTGACAGCCTGTGGAATATGAGGATTGGATTTTTGTGATTTTTTTTTCTTCCTGACTTGAGTAAAAATTTTGTGATCCTTGATAATCATCTCTTTGCATGATCTCAATAATTTGTTATGTTCGTGCTTAGGAAGTCATGAGGGAATTCACATTACATTCATCACCTATCGACAATAGGGTATTGAATAATTGATTCAGTATATAGTTGACTGGTTTGAAACTGTCAATTGTGAAGAGCTGAAGACCCTGTTAGCCTGTACAACTACTTTGCAGCTTTGCTGGATTACTACAATGAGGATGGTTGCTGGTATTTGTTTGATGTACGGTAGTTTCTTGTTTGTAAGCATTAGTTCTGTTAGATGATTGAACCAGGCAGCATTGACATGTCCACAAGTTCGAGTCTTCGTTGCTTGGACTTGATACTGAGATGTTAGGCAAATGTGTCACTGAGCACATCTGCTTGGTTATCTAAGATCAATGTATTTGGTTATGTAAAGATTGATATATCCGATTATGCGAGATGTATATCGTTTTCTTTCATTCTTTCAGATGTGAACATATATTGTATTGAAGGCTTGAAGCGATTGAAAGATACTCTTTTATGTTGAGTTTTAGGAGTGTATTGTTTTTTTTATTCTTGCTTTTTCATATTCAATGGATTGGAAAAATAACTAGAGGGAGTAAAAGGTTGTGCTTTTGCACATTTTTTGTCTGACCGAAAGGTGCTAAAGTTAGATTCTACTTCTAGAAAATTAACCAACTATTTATCTTTGCGTGTGATGGTTATATAGTAACCTTAAACGTGGGAGATCTTGACTTTTTATTTCCATAATTCTTTTATTTTTTTTAATTAGAGATCTTGCTAATGTGGTCTAATATTTTGCTCATGATATCGCCAATAGAACTTGCAGGGTGAAAATGCTTGGGGTATGATAGAATACATAAACTAAGGGCCTGTTGTCATTGACTGAACTGAAATGAATGTTTTATAAGAGAAGAAAATTAGAAACAAAACTGATAATAAACGTATGAGAACATGCTCTAAATGAACACAGTATAAGTAGATGAATACCTAAATAGAAGTCTTGTAAGTCATTTTATAATACTTGGTGGTTTCCACAAATTGACCACAGCTTAGACTTGCTTTTCAATATGCTCAATCTCTTTTGCCACCCTAGATGAACTGCGCTAAACTCCTTGATGGTCACCTCTTGGGATTGACTATAATCATTTTTTTTTTTTTTTTTGACAAAGACTAATCAAATTTGAGTAAGTTTTGTTTGCTTATTAATAAAGCTCCAAGGATTTCATGTGTTAGCCAAGAAAAAAACTTATCAATGTATGATGTAACTATTTCATTTAGCCATATCTTTTTAGTTACAAGAAATTTTCATGTGATTCAAACTGGAGATGAAAGTAGAGTCCGATAGCTTTTCAATGATATCTCATGCCAAATTTGAGCTAGAAACGAAGAAGTTGTGAGTGTTTGATGTTAAGTTGTCTAGGCAGTCGCGAGGAGCGAAGAAGTTGTGAGCGTTTGATGTTAAGCTGTCTAGGCAGTCGCGAGGAGCTCCAGAAAGGGCGTCACTTAAAGTTTTAGTAGTGCGGAGCGCCCGCTCCTACCTTTTAAAGCGGCTTCTCCCGAGGCCCTGTTTTGAGCGGAAACTTCTTTTCTTTTGTGCTCCTTTTTTGCATTTTAATCTTGGTCCTTCATTTATAATCTAAAGGGTGTAATTTAAAAAATTTAGGGTTTGTTTGTAAAGCCTTTAAATAGAGCTAAGCTTTCTTTTGGGATGAACTTTACTTAATTTTGAAATCAATGAGACTTTCTCTCTCTACCCATAATCTTTGTGATTATTTGCTTTGTTTGTGAATACTACTTTGTAATCTTTGTGGTTACACCTTAAACCTAGCCTTACTTTGTGCTAGATTTGATTAAGAACCCCTATTTCAAATATCTTAGGGCATGTTCTCTTCAAATTATTTTCAGTTCAGTAATTCTCAAAAAAAAATTCTCTCATAAAATATTCAGTTCAGTTCAATTCAGCTCAGTTCAGTAAATCAGAACAAGCTCTTAGGGTCTGTTCTCAGTGACTGAACTGAACTGATCTGAACTGAACTGAACTTATTAATTAGTGATTTTTAACTACGGATTAGTGATCTTTGATTATTTATTGATTATTTATTATTATACATATGTTTATATACAAATATACATATTAAAATATTTAAGAAAAATATACTATTATTATTATTATTATTTATTGATTATTATTATTATTATTTATTGATTATTATTATTATTTATTTATTATTATTATTATTATTATTATTATTATTATTATTATTTATTGATCATTATTATTATTGTTATTGTTGTTGTTATTATTATTATTATTATTATTATTATTATTATTAATCTCAAAAACATACAAAGTTATATAACCTATAGAAAATTAGTGGGAAGCCGAGATACAATATGGGCCCCCACTCCTCTAGCTATTGAAAAGCCGATCCTAGTAAAGATATGAGCAACATTATTATTATTTTTATTATTATTATTATTATTATTATTATTATTATTATTATTATTATTGTCGTTGTAATAAGAGTTTAAAAGAATGAAATTACATGAGCTGAACTGAATTGAAATGAACTGAATTGAGTTTAACTGAACTGAATTGAACTGAACTGAGCTGAACTGAGCTGAATTGAACTGAACTGAGCTGAACTGAACTGAACTGAATTTCAACGTATGAGAAAAGGCCCTTAGTGTTTGTTGAGATAGATTTATCTTGTTTTGTTGATTTGAAGTTGTTGTTAGTTGATTTTTCCCCTCTTTTCTTGATTTTGTTGGTTGTTTCATATCAATTGAAACCCTTGTTTAGATTGAAACCCTTGTTTCTCTAGACTTTGTGACTAGTGAATCAAGTCATTTGTTAGATAATCTTACTTGGGTCGATCATTTTGGGGCTAAAATTAGGCCAAAAGGTTAGAAGTTTTGGGGACGGAGGGAGTAACAATAGAAGGACATTAATTATTTGATTAATTTAAGAGTTTTAAAAAATAACAAAAAGTTTGATGTTGTATGCAAAATACTCTCAGCTACGAGTGTATTTTTGTTTCTTACTCTTTATCATATAACTAATATATAAAGCTAAACTTTTAGCCGTGTCACGAGGCTGCGACATTTGACATTTTAACTTTTTCACCAAGTGTCGTGTCACGTCAAATAGATTTAAATAGACTTTATTTATGAGGTAAAAAGTTAGTTTAAAATTCTATTTGGATAGAATTTTAAGATAAAATTGTTAGCTTAGAATAATTTTATAAAATACCAAACGTATAAATTGAATTATAATTTTATTCAAAAAAATTATTAGATTATAATTCTAAAAAATTATCATATAAATTTATTTTTTTGTATCATAATGTTTTTTGGAACGAAGGAAGTAGTTTAAAGCGTAAATCATTCATTTATAATATGTACTAATCGGCTAAAATAATACAAGTATATAAACTTCACAATCTAATAGAATTTTATTACTATGTAGACCTATTAGGGTGTGGTCTAAGTTAACTTGAATTAAAACTTCATCTTAAAATTCAATAAACAACCCGGGCATCGCACGGGGCACAAAACTAGTCTTATAATAAAGTATATGCAGTTGTCTCGGTTTTTCTAGTTAATAAGGAGTAAAATTGTAATTATTTGGGTAAAAATAGATAAAATTGCAAATGGTACTTGCAAAATTATCTCATTAAATAAAATTTTGTTACTTGATAAGCAAAGGTTGTTTATCAACTTAATGAACTTATGTTAAATTTTGTTACTTGATAAGCAAAGGTTCTAGAATGGTATTGCCAATTCAATTTGTATTATTTTACTTCAAGAATCTAATATAGTAGTATTTGTTTTCTCCTATTATTCTCTGACAATAGTTTTCGATCGCTTTAATAGGGAAATATCCGTACAACTTTATTTGTAGATAAACGACGAAAGATATAAGTGATTAGTCCTGAAAAATAGATCATTGTTAAAGTTTTACCGATAGAAAGTTTTATAAAGGAGTAAGAGAAGATGGAGAAATTTATTATGTATATTGCTCCGGTAACATGACTTATATAGCCAAGAGTTTTACATATAATGCCACACAAGTTCACAAGTCTTTGGACTTGTGTGAACATTGTGAAATCAAATCAAATAATTATAGACATTCATATTTATCTTCTAACACTCCCCCTTGAATGCCCATACTTATTATACAGAAAGGTATTTGTTGCCTCATTAAAAACCTTGCTAGGTAAAACTCTTATGGGGTAAATACCATAGCTAGGGAAAAAGAGTACAACGATATAGTATTATATGCTTTGGTATACTGCCTCGTTAAAAACCTTGTCAGGAAAAACCCGGTGGGATAAAAACCTGATCGAAGGGAAAAAGAGTGCAGTACATATAATACTCCCCATGATCTCAACATAGTTCACGAAGATGTCGCATTCCGATTTTGTGAACTAACTGTTCAAATTTCTTCGAAGGAAGTGATTTGGTGAAAAGGTCGGCAAGATTTTCACAAGACTGAATTTGCTGGATATTTATTTCCTCGTCCTTTTGCAGATCATGTGTGAAGAACAGTTTTGGGGCAATATGTTTCGTTTTATCTCCCTTAATATATCCTTCAGTTACTTGAGCGATACATGCTGTATTGTCTTCAAAGATGATGGTTGGGTCTTCTGTTATTGCGTTCATTCCACACTCCTTTTGGATATTACTGATCATCGACCTCAGCCACGCACATTCCCGTCCTGCTTCATAGAGGGCTATCAACTCTGCATGATTTGATGATGTCACGGTCAATGTCTGCTTTGTTGATTTCCATGATATTGCAATGCCGCCATAAGTGAATACATATCCATTTTGTGACTTGGCATTTTGAGGATCTGATAAGTATCCAGCGTCTGCATACCCAATGAGAGCAGCATCTTGTTTTGGTTGGTAATATAAACCAAGGTCTTGTGTCCCTCGTAGGTACCGGAGTAAGTGTCGAACTCCCTTCCAATGCCTATATGTTGGTGCATTGCTGTGCCTGGCTAACAAATTCACAGAGAAAGCTATGTCGGGTCTAGTATTGTTAGCTAAGTACATTAAGGCTCCAATTGCACTTAAGTATGGTACTTCTGGACCCAGAATCTCTTCATTTTCTTCTCGGGGTCTAAATGGATCATTTTTCATATTCAAAGAACGAACAACCATTGGGAAGTTGGTTGGGGTTGCTTTGTCCATGAAGAAACGTTTCAAAACTCTTTTTGTATAGTTTGATTGATGGACAAAAATGCCATGACTCAAGTACTCAATTTGTAGTCCAAGGCAAAATTTAGTTTTCCCAAGGTCTTTCATCTCAAATTCTTTCATCAAGTATTTTGCAGTTTTCTCGAGTTCATTTGGGGTTCCGATGATATTTAAATCATCAACATAAACTGCAATGATAGCGAATCCGGATTGTGATCGCTTTATGAAAACACAGGGACTAACTTGGTTGTTTTTGAATCCTTCTCTCATAGGTATTCACTCAGACGGTTGTACCACATCCTTCCAGATTGTTTCAAT